TGCCACCCCAGGAAGGCCTGATGCTTGGGAAACCGGGCTCCTACCCTGGCTCCGCTCCGAGGAGAACAGGCTCGGGCTGCGCAGGAAGGAGAAGTGGCGCCGTTCTGCAAAGGCCCGTGGGCCGCGGCCAGGGCCCTGAACCCGCGGGGGCAAGCTGAACTCCGGCGGGAGGCAGGCTGCTAACCAGTAAGCAAGTTGTAAAAACCCAACTCAGACACAACATCTGGCAGCTGCTTCAGATAGTTCTCTGTCTGAAGCTGGAGTTGCTCGCGGCCCTCCAGTAAATCAAACCATGTGCAAAGAGGAGCCCGCGCCGACCTGAAGCACCCTGCTTGGCCGGGCCCCAGCCGTGCCTCCAGTCCCTCTTGCTCTTTAAATAGCCTGGGGTTCACATTCCATTTCCTTCTACGATCAACTCGGAGCTGGCCCGGCTGGAGAGGCTGCAGGATGCGAGCTAGCACCCTTGGTCCCAAAGAAAGATGGAGGCACATGGGCACCGAGCCGCCATCGTACCCCGGGGGCTCAGCCTCTGTTCCTGATGACCTCTGAGCACTGCCCGCACCTTCCTAGACCCCGGGACCGCTCACTGTGGCTGGCCAGAGGGACACCCAGGGAGAGCCCAGAGCCCCGGCCACTGACGAGTTTCACGTTCTCCTCACATCCTGGCCTGAGCCGGGCCCCGTGGCTTCCACGCGCCACCTGGGTGCCCACCCCGTGGAAGAACGGCCACCAGTCCTAGGGCAGATCTGCTCTGGTGGCACTGGCCGTGAGAGGCGGAGGCAGAAGGGAGATGCCCGTGTGGTTAATGACGTGGCCAATCCTTACCTTAACCCTCACCGGGCCTGGCACTGGGGTATATTCTCTACGCTCATCATTTCGTAAATCCTCATGGTCAGTCTAAGAGGAAGTACTCTTATGAAGTCTGTTCTTTATTTTTTTTTAACTTTTTTTTTTTTTTTAAGATTTTATTTATTTATTTGAGACAGAATGAGAGAGAGAGAGAGCACATGAGAGGGGGGAGGGTCAGAGGCAGAAGCAGGCTCCCTGCCGAGCAGGGAGCCCGATGCGGGACTCGATCCAGGGACTCCAGGATCATGACCTGAGCCGAAGGCAGTCGCTTAACCAACTGAGCCACCCAGGCGCCCCTTTTTTTTTTAACTTTTATTTTTTATGTAATCTCCACACCCAACATGGGGCTCGAACACACAATCCCCAGATCAAGAGTTGCACGCACCACCGACTGAGCCAGCCAGGCGCCCCTATGAGCCCTGTTCTAAAAGATATGTGTAGAGGGTTGGATGATGGCCCTCAGAAAGATGTGTCTACGTCCTAACCCCATGACCTTATTTGAAAAAAGGGTCTTAGCAGATGCCATTGAGTTAAGGATCTCAAGATGATTTCATCCTGGGTGGGCCCTAAACCCAATGATGAGTGTCTTTATGGGACAGACACAGGAACACAGAAAGGAAGACCATGTGACCACAGAGGCAGAGGTTGGAGTGATGTGATCGCAAGCCAAGGACCGCCTGGGGCCACCAGAAGCTGGAAGAGGCAGGAAAGATTCTCCCCTGGAGCCTCTGGAGGGAGGGAGCACGGCTCTGTCCACACCTGGATTTTGGACTTCTGGCCCCCAGAACTATAAGAAAATAAATGTGTGCTGTTTTAAGCCACCCAGTGTGTGGTAATTTATTATGGCACCCATGGGAACCTAATGCAATGTGGAAATGGGGGGTCAGAGAGACGGGGCAAGGCCACATACTCTGCCTCCCTGGTAATGAGGCGGGTTTTTAGAAAACTGACCTCATTTCCATGTAGTAGGGCAGAGGCTCTGGGGCACAGGCAATTTCCCTGCAAGATGCCTTCCTAGGAAAGCTTGTTCACTGCCCTCTGAGTACACAAGGGTCCACATAGAGTCCGAGTGCAGATTGGCGGCTGCCAGGGGCTGGGGAGAGGGGCGGGACTGCCAACGGACACAGGGTCTCCCCTGGGAGGATAAAAATGTTCTGGAAGCAGAGGGGGTGGTTGCCCAACATCATGAATGTGCTAATGGCACTGAGGTGTCCACTTTAAAATGGTGAATGTGATGTTATTTGAGGTTCACTGCAATTTTTTAGAAAGCCGGTTGGAGGGCGCCCGGGTGGCTCAGTCGGTTAAGTGACTGCCTTCGGCTCAGGTCATGATCCTGGAGTCCCTGGATCGGGCTCCCTGCTCAGCAGGGAGTCTGCTTCTCCCTCTCCCACTCCCCCCTCTCATGTTCTCTCTCTCTCTCATTCTCTCTCTCTTTCAAATAAAAAAAAAAAAGCTGGTTGGAAAAGGGTGATGAGGTAGGAGGTCCTTGTACCCAGTACCTCGATGCGCCTCGCCGTAAGCTTCTAGTGGTCTAAGAGGGCCCAGGGAGGCAAGTGCGGCCGCCGTATCACAGATTCCGATGCAGGAGGAACCTGTGAACTTCAGCCTAGGGCCCCCACGCCAGGTCCTGCTCTCCGTGTGCTTCTAGAAGACACGATCTCAGGGACGGCTGTAAAGCCCACCCTCAGAAGAGTCAGGGGAGGGATAAATGAGGCCTTTGCCTTTCCTGCCTACGAAGAAGACCCTGAAGGGGCTGCAGCTGGGCTGGGCGGGTAGACAGAGCCAGGGTAAGTCAACGCCACCTTCCATCTAGCCAGCTGCCCTCAGCCCGGGCTTTTCCACCGGGAACATTCCCTCCGCTCAGCAAAATCTTTATCGGACCGGCAGCGGCAGCTGTGCTCTGGCCCAGGAAGAAAGTTCCAAAGAAGGGTTAGCTTTCGGTTTTCTTAAAAAAAAGAAAGAAAGAAAGAAAAGAAAAAAAGAGAGACAGAGAAAAAAGGTCAGAGCCCCGAAGAGGACACGGAGGTCCGAGTCTGGGGCAGTAGCACTCGGGGTACGCCAGGAGGACCGTCCGGCCCGCCTGCAGCTGAGCCCTTAGAAGCCCTCGGAGAGCCGTGAGCGGCTTCCTCTGGGCTTGCTCGGCCAGGACATCATTTGTTGATTCTAGAGCCCAATCCCTAGCTCATGATTTCCTCCCTGGTTGCCATGGCCCCGTACAGAAAACACAGCAAACTCCTGGCCCCGGGCAGCTCATTTATTTCAAATATTCCTTGCAGCTGGACTCCAACCATGTTTGGGTGTCTGGACTGGAGCATGAACTAATTGCTCTGTCTTCGGCCCCCTCCCCAGCTCCCCCGGCATACTTTATGGTTCAGTAAAGTCCACATTCCTCATCTCGCCGCCGAGGAGGCGCGGGAGGAAGGGTGGGAGGGAAGCCTGGGGCAGGAGGAGGAGGGAGGGCTCTTCCCATCTAAGGCCAAGCCCCAGGCCGGCTACCTGCTCGAAGGCAGGGTATTAATTACAACCACATGGGCCGGTCTGCAAGATGGTTTTATTAAGATTGCTCCCTCCAACGCGAAACCCCGCTCCCCGAGAAGTCTCCGGGCAGTACAAAGGGCCTTATTTTCCCTGGGTTTCCACCACTGCCCCCCCCATCCCGCCTGACCCCCTTCCTCCCCCTGCCACCTCCTTCAAAGCCAGCGGAGTTCCAACTGCAACCCAGACATGAACTCCAACCGAAAAATAATTTTGGGCCACCCCTTTCCTCCATACGCATCTGCGGAAGGCATCTAGGGCTCCCTTTCCCCCCGTACCCACCTTGATCTTTGGAGACTTTGCCCAAGAAGAAATAACATTTATCAGGAAGTTGGTTTAGGGATGTTTGCACCATTCTCAAAGACCAATTCCAGTCCCGGGGCTGCCATTTCCCAGAACAGAAGTGCATGAACTTTTAAAGCATTTGTTTGCACACTTGCTAGTATGCGGGGCCCTGTTCTAAAGCCTCATTTCACCCTTGCTACCCTCCTATGAGATGGGCACTGTGAGGCCTGCCATTTGACGGAGGCTCATCCAAGAGCACACAGCGAGGGAGGGGGGTCAGAGCCAATATTTGAACCCAGGTCTGACTCAGGAGTCCCTGTGCTCGTCGCTGGGCCAACCCACCAACACACTGAAAGAATTTCCCTTTCCTCAGCAGCTTGTCGGGAAAAAGAGCTGACACAGTTGCAAACAGTGGTCTCCAAACTCTCTTAGGCAAGGTCACTTGGGGAGTTCGAGAAAACTGCAGATCCCTGGCCTGGCCCCAGAAACGTTGATTCGGTTCATATCAGGCAGGGCTCTGAGGAAACGTGCATTTTGGCCAATACCTTCCATGGGATGTCAATGCAGGTGGTCTGAGGAAAGCTGGCTAGGAGGCGGGCAGAGAAAGGGACACGGGACTTTGGTCCGAGGCGTCTTGGGCCCTCAGACCGGGACACTTTTCATAGTACCGTAAGATCCTGACAGGCAGGCCCACAGGGAGCTGAAATGCATTCTTGCCAATTCTTTGGAAACTAGTCATGACATGCGATCGTATCTAGTAAATGTCTTGACTGTTCACGTTCTCACTCACCAGTCCTCTGAATCAGCTGGATTTTCCTGTCTCCTCTGCTAGGGGAAGAAGGGGGGGGGTCCCCGCCCACAGCAGCGGGCAGAATGGGTTCGCCACGAAGGCTCATCAGCATCACTGCACACTTGGCAGTGGGAACACAGAGGTGAGTGAGGGACCAGCTCCTTCTACCACGTGTGCAGAGCCTGGACTCTGAGGATGCTCCCACGGGCTTCTACCCTGCCCCTAAAAAGCCCACTGTCAACCCAAGCTGTAGGATACCGAAGAGCCAGAGGCTCTCACCGATGGGCAGAATCCTTCCTATCGGGCTCAGATAGTCTTAGTCTGGGCTGCAGGCTCGAGAACTTCTGAAAAGGGATGGGGACATTCTAGGATCACCTCTCCAGGATTCTCCTCCTCACTGGGGCTCTGGCTGGCCTCCCACCCTGTGCCACGGGGTCCCAGGGGATCACCTCATTATCTATTGAAAACTGGACCTGGGAGGGGGGGGCTTGGCCACACCCCTTTCCCTTCCCCCAAGGCACAGAAAGGGACTCAAAAGTGGTTTTGTATTTTAATAAACTTTCCTTTATTAGGTTACTGACTATTATTAACCATCATAAAATAGAACAGGAGTTTTAAAACTGTACAGGTCACAAGGTTCTGGGAGGAGAGGAAAGAAGGGTGGGGCTGAGGTTTGGGAAGCCGGGGACAGAGGTGCAGAGAGATGACTGAGAGCCTGCAATCCATCCGGCATCGGCGGGAGAACGCTGGGTCAAGGCGGTTCGGCTGGCATCTGTGTAAGTAAAACTCTCTCGTGTGCAACATTCATGAGAACATGACCCACCCTGAAACAGGAGTGAGGAAAAGTCTTTAAAAGTCTTACAGGTAAGGTTTCTCCCCCGTCCTTGGAAAAAAACTCAAAATAATAAGGGGGTAATTTACATCCCTCACCCAGACTTGGCACCAATTTTGTGCTTTAAAAAATATACTCCACGGGAAGACTTTGTTTTTTAAAGGTACCCTACAGCAGCTGTTTAAAACGTAATTCTTACAGACAAATATATATGTATATATATTAAACATTTAAACAAATAAAGTCATCTATTGTACCTGTACAGAAACGAACAGAAGTCAGATTCTAAGCGAGTTGACTTCAAGATCAAAGGGACGGTGAGTGCGGCGGCAGGGGCTGGGGTCTGCTACGTGGGGGGGCTGCGGCAGGGCGCGAGCGGCCCTCTTCTGCTGGCTGCCCCGCCCCACCCCGCCCTGCTCCTCGGGCGGCTCTGGGGGGTCGTGATGAGCTGAGGCTGCTCCCCCTGGGCGCAGAGCCCGGACGGGGGCACGAAGTGGAGGCCTGCACTGGCTTCCGAGGGGCACGACCTCACTCTGGTCTCCCCACCCCGCCGCGCCCCTGGCTTCCCTGGGGCCGGAGACCCACTCATCATCCTCCCTTCTTAGTTCCGGCTCTGGGAAGGCAGAGCTTCTGAGGATGCACATGGGAGGTCTTCAGCTAGGAAAGCAAAAGCACACACAACCCCCCCACAGAAGACTAAAGGAGGAAAACCACGTGCAAAGATGTCTGTCTCCTGCCTGGAGACACGGGGAGCGCCACAGCCCTTGTGGACGGGCCCCCCAAGACTCTCATGTGCTCGGGAACCCAGAGCAGAACGCCCGGAAACTGTAGGTCTGGGGACCCACACAGGGACACCCTTGTGCCCACGTGAGGACAAGCCACAACCACGGCCCACGAGAGGGACGGGTGAGGCGCACACATCCCAGGGAGGGGCAGGTGGAAGCAAAGCAACAGAACACTCCGGAGAGAGGGCAAGAAACCAGGTTTCCTTTCTAAATGGAATAAATAAATGGCTTTTGTCATTGTGAAAAGAATAAATACAGGGTACCGGGGGGCTGACAGCCGGGGCCGACGCAGGGCACTCGTATGCGCCTGTGGAGGTTCCGTTTGGGCTCCTGCCTCGGTGTCCGCGGTGAGTTCCTGACGTCCTGAGTGTTGTCTGCGGTGGCCGGGCCCCCATCTGAGCACCTCTTAGCGCCCCTGGCATCTGCTCTTGGCGCCGGGGCACCTCCTCCCGGGACCTGGCAGGTCGGGGCGGGGCGGGGGGGGCGGGGATCCCTGCGCCACCCCGAGGGCGGGTCGGGGCTCGGTGGAGGGCTTCCTAGGAGTCTGTTCTCTGTGTCTTCTTCCGAAGAGGGCCTGTGGACACGGCATGCGGGGGGCTTCTGCCAACGTGGGGACAGGGAATGGAGGAGCCTGTGTTAAGCTGTGGGCGGCCGGCTGGGGCGGCGGGGAGGACGGGGAGGAAGAGCAGGCACTTCCTCCCGGGGGCCGGATCCCGGTCCGAGGCGCAGGGTGCGGCGGCACCAGGTGGCCGGCGTGCTGGCGATGCAGGGGTGCAGCGTCACTGGTACAGGAGGTAGGCCTTGAGGGAGGCCGGCAGCGGTAGTATGTGGATGTCACCCAGACGCTCCTTGCCCAGGGCCAGGCGCACCGAGCGGCGGCAGAGATCCATGAGCGGCAGGGGCTCGGCTGGGGGAGCGGAGGAGAGAGCGAGGACACGTTAGCACAGCTCTGGAAGGCTCTAGAACGAACAGCGCTAACAAGGACAGCCATCGTAGCAGAATTAGCGTCAGTAGACGATTAGTAACGAGCCAACTTCACATTTTAAACCAGCTGTTCATCGCTAACACAGAGAACCTGCTCTGGGCCGGGCACCTTTGTGAGGCCTCTGGAGAGGCCAGCTCAGTCGACGGTTTACTACGGTTTGTTCTCGGGGACTTAACCTTCCCAGGGAGGCATCCGCATTATCATCCCCATTTTACAGATGAGGACACTGAGGGATAGAGAGTCCAAATACCTTGCCCAGGGTCACAGCGCTGGTAGGAGGAGCTGGATCTGAACCTAGGCTGTCGCTCCTCTTACCCCCCCGGACAACCCTTCATGGCGTGTCCGACCGGGCGCATGGAAGACAGCCCGTCCCAGCACAGGCCAGAGCTCCAGACCCCGCGCAGTTATTCGGGAAGGGAATCCACATTAGCCCAGTGCTCATGGGTGCTGCAGCCGTCCCCACCTCACTGGTGAGGGCACTGAGGCAGAGGGGGCCTGATGTGTCAAGGTTACACGCTGGGGTCCGAATCCAGGCAGCCCGGGCTCAGCAATCACATCCTTAGCCACCAAACCGTGCTGCCAAGGAAGATGGAAGAAATGCCGGTCCAGAGACACACTCTATAGGAGGCAGGCCCAGCCGCCCCACGGCCTGAAGGGGGAGTGTCTATAGAAACCCTAGGTCCTCACACTTCTTCCCACCTGACGGAGTGAAGCCGAGGGGCCCAGGCAAGGGGAAGTGGACATGTCAGCCCAGCCGCCGCAGCCGGGACCCTCGAGGCTGCCCCGGGCACCGCCAGAGCATCTCACAGCCAGGGAAACTGAGACCAGGGCTCACGGTGGTGCTGCCTTGGGCACCTGTATTTGAGAGGGACTTCCAGCTGCAGCCTGCATGAGCACTTCGGTCCTTATGTCCCCAGATGGCCTGGGACACCTGTCTTCCCCCAAGGGATGCTCCATGCAGCCCGAGTCTCAGATAAACTCTGCTCCAGACGGAGCGTGAAAGTCACTCCCTCCCAGGCCCCGGAGGCCGCGGGGGGCAGAGTGGGCCCCGCTCTCCCTGCCTCCCTGCACTTGACTCTTCCTGGCTCTCTTCCCAGAAGCAAGGTGCAGGGGAGCACGCCTGGAGCTGCTCAGGGCCGACCCACGGCGTCGTGGATCTGGAAAGAGCTGAAGGGAGCACGTCTGTGGCTTCGGCCAGGTTTCCCCTTGACACTGAGACTGCCCTGTGACCAAAAAACTGAGAAAAAACAAAAACAAAAACCCAGCATTTCCCTCAAGACCCCATGCCCCCCATGAGAAGTGGATCAACGTGTGTCTCCAAATTTTAAAAATAATATTTAAAAAACTGAACTATTGATGAGCAAATGCTACAGCTGGAGGTGTGGGGTGAATAGGGAGAGACTGCTGATGAGTACAGGTTTTGGGGGGGCATGAAGGTGTTCTAAAGCTGATCGTATTGATGGTGGCAAGGCTGTCATGCGCTTTAAATGCGGGACTAGAACAGCCTGTGAATTACATCTCAACCGAGCTGTTATGAAAAGAATAAATCTCAGGCTTGGTAACACATTGACTAAATTCCTGGCTTTAAAAGAAGGCGAGCAACTGCTCTTCATCTCCCACGGGCCGTTAGCCACAGCGAGACGGGAAAGGGAACCGAATTGGTCAATGTTTTTCATGAAAAGCTTTGAAACGGGGCCGTTCCTGGACAGCACAGGATGATTAAGGGGAGCCCTGCCTAGAGGCAGGAGGATGAGCTAAATGATCTTCCGCCCTTTGGGGTCCAAGCATTCCAGACTCCTGGTGAGCAGGGATGGGCTTCTCCCACCTGCGAGCCCACAGAACCTTGGGTCTCCCTCATCGTAAGGCATCCACATCTGGCTCCTCATTTCCACCCTGCCCAGCAGCCTGACCTCGAGCAGACCCCTCCCGCTGCCTAGGCCTCAGTTTCCCCATCTGGAAGATGAGGAATCCGGAGCAGATGCTTCAGTCTCCTCCCGCTGAGATCCCGAAGGCCAGAAATGCCTCCCAGTGGCTCTTGGCCTGGACACGCTGAGTGGCCCTTCAGTGGATCGAGTGGGGGAATTCGGCGGCCCTTCCTCTCCCCCACTCAGGAGCTCTCTCTATCTGCCACATCGGGCCAGCCCCTTCTCCCTCCAGAATGTGGCTCGGCCCCCATGGGGAGGCAGAGGGGCTTCCCCTGCTGGCTGGGGACACTTGAGAAAGTATCAAGAGCCATTGAATGTGGCCAGAGTGCCGTGCAGGGCTGCGGAAGGAGGGTTGAGAGGGAGTTCCCATCAGAGCCTCTTAGCTTAATGGTTTCTCAGGCATCCCATGGGGACCCTCACTAAGAAATGTTTCTAAATGGCAGAGCCCTGCACAGCCCCCGCTCCAGCTCCCTTATTTTTGGTGACAGCTGACCTGAAATTAACATCGCAGCACGAGCAGCAGCTTGGTTCCTGGCGGGCACTGTGGTCCCCACCCCTGCCCAATCTATAGATGGGGAAATGGCTTGAGGAGGGGAGAGCCAGGGCTAGAATGTGGATATACACCCAGGTCCAGCCAATAGTCTGGCTCTCTTTCCGCCAACATGGGAGCTCCCTCTGCCTGACCATCTTTGGACCACACTGAATAATCCAGTTAGGGAGCGGTTGTGAACCCAGAAGGGATGCATCCTTCAGACATCCCAGATCTGCCGGGATGAGTTGCAGAAGAAGCAGCTACAGCAGATGCAGTGATGCACCCTGAGCTGAAAATACGGCCAGTCATGCAAGCAGCCCAGGGATGGGTCTGTTCTTGGGGGCCACAAATACATGCACAGGTCATCCCCCTCCTTCCTGGCTCTTGTAGGGAACAAACGATGATGCACAGGGTCATGGTCTGACTGCTTTCCAAAGGCCGGGCAGAGACCAGGAGTGCAACCGGATGTGGGCACCAGGCCACGGAAAATGTCTGTCCTGATTTCAGCTGGTCACTAACGGAACCCGAGAAGGCCTTCCCCACCTCAACGCTTTTGCCGGGGGCCTGCAGGCTCTGTATCCAGCTCCATCCACAAAGCCAAGTACCCCCTGAAGTTCCACCAAAGAAGTTCCCAAACAGGGAAGGCCAAAGTTTCTTTGATGACCTGTGCAAGGGGCCTCGGCCGCTGGGCCCACCTCCAGGAAGCTGAGATGCTCGTCCTAAACTTTACATAGTTTATATGAATGGCGGGGTGGGGGGGGGGGGACACTGAGTACAGCACAGAAATTGGGAAGTGAATCAGGTGCTATTTATGGGAGCCAAAGGTTGCAGAACCGGATGGGTCTCTGCACTCACTTCCACATGTCTAGGAGGAATGATTACCTGGTGTCCTGACCATGCACAGCCCAGCACGCCAGCCTGTGGCTGTCCCGCACTTCTCAGAGAGACTACAACCCAACTCACGCCTTCAGAGCCTGCTGCTGTGCTGTCATGGAATGAACTTGGGTCTGTGAGGTCAAGGACAGATGGCTCACGTCAGGAACTGCCCCTGACCCAGCCACGTTCTCATTCTCACCCATCGTCTTCACCGGTCCTGAGACTGACTGACTGCATGCTTACTCCTGCACGTAGCTTACAGTGAAAATGCTCCGTGAAATGGATTCTAGAAAGTCATGGGTGGAGGATGGCCATCTTGGAGGACCATCAGGATATGTGTGCGTTTCCCCTTGACAGTAAGCGGTTTTTACAAAAAAGAAGCAAAACAGAACACCGACCCCTTGTTCTTGGCAACCAGGGAAGGATGCCTGACACCCGGCTGGATGACGACGCAACTCTGGTTCCCTGTTCCCCCGACTCCGAGAGCCTGTTGTCCTCATATGACCAGACTTTTGGGGGAAAAGGGGCCCAGAATGACCCCTTCCCTCCTAAGTGGCCTCTCTCCCCCAGAAAGAAGCCCTTGCAGGTTGGGGAGATTAGTGCCCCTGACTAGGCACTTCCCTGGAGCCCAGCTGGAATGCGGGTGCAGGTAGGAGCCACCGTCGGGTGAGGCGCCCTGGGAGGGCATCTAGGGAGGCCAGGAGGACACCAGGAGGAAGTCACCAAGTCAAAAGCCTCTTGAGGAAAAGAGCTGAGCCCCCTCCAAACCCACAATCACAAAAAAACCTCACCAAACTTCTCTGGGAGCCGTAAAAGGGAGAATTTGAAAACGGAGGAATGCAGACAAAAGCCTTCCTTAGTGGGAGATGCGGTCACAAGCGGTGGGGGAAGGGAGGACCCATGGGCAGGGACTCTCCCTTGGGTGACGGCCAGTCTGCAGCTTGCAAGTAGGTCTTTTCCTTCTGCATGTCCAGGGAGTGGGCAGGCCTGGGGGCCACACTGGGCCCTGTCTCCCCCCTACAATGGTCATCTCCACCCCTTCACCCCGGGAAAGAGGAAGGTGACACCATAGTCCCCCTTAGCTGTGGCTTCAGTCCCAGAAGGTCTCAAGGCCTGAGGAGTCAGAGCAAGTGGCTTTGGTCTAGAGCTGGCTGGAGGGTGGGGGAGGTCACACAGGGACACACTGATCACTCTCTGCCTTTGCCCTGGCCCCTGCACGGGGACAGGGACTCTGCTGGGAGGGTCTGCCCGGCACACAGGGGACAGGGACAGGGACTCTGCTGGGAGGGTCTGCCCGGCACACAGGGGACAGGGACAGGGACTCTGCTGGGAGGGTCTGCCGGCGCACAGGGGAAGGGGGCAGGGACTCTGCTGGGAGGGTCTGCCGGCGCACAGGGGAAGGGGGCAGGGACTCTGCTGGGAGGGTCTGCCCGGCGTACAGGGGAAGGGGGCAGGGAGTACAACAGCACTCAGGGAGGCCCCGCTTAGCAACTCTGGCTGACCAGCTCTGTAAACCACTGTTCCCTGCTGAGGTCAGGACCTGGTGGCTGGGCTGGGCTGGGCTGGGGAAGGAGGGCATAGACGACTTCCCAGATAGTCCTTGGAGGGCTCACAGGTCAGATTGCCTCCAAGGCTGTGACCCCGAGATGTCTCTAGCCAGCCCTGGCCAGACTTTCTGCCTGTCACACTCTGCCCCCTCGGTGGACCACAGACCTGGTCTCGCCATGACATTCCCCCTTCCTCAGCTACCTTGGAAGGCAAGGCAAACCCTCCTGGGCAGAAGACTTAGGAGCCCTTCGACCTCACCCAATGGGTACCCCATCTGACTGCTGTCTCACTTTCCCCTCAGGGGGTGGCATGGGGGTCCCGTAGGAATGGTCTAGAGTCACTCTCTCTACATGTATAATGGGGGGGAGAGTGTCCCCCCTCCTAAATTCAGAACCGCCTGGATCCTCAGAACGTGGCCCTCTTGGAAATAGCATCTTTGCAGATGTAATTTGCATCTTAAGATGAGGTCATGCTGGAGTAGGCTGGGCCCTGAATCCAATGGCTGGTGTCCTAGTAAGATGAGGACAGACACAGAAGGCCATGTAGGGATGGACGCAGAGATGGGGTAACACGTCCACGAGCGAGGACTGCCAGCGACCAGCAGGAGCCAGGAGAGAGGCCTGGGGAGGATTCGCCTCAGAGCCCTCAGAAGGAACCAACCCTGCTGACACCCCGATTTTGGACAACTGGGCTCCGGAACGGTGACAGAATGCATTCTGTTGTCTTAAGCACCCAGCTGGTGGTTATCTGTTCCAGCGGCCCCAGGAATCGAACACACCACCCTTCCTGTTCCTCTGTAAACCCACTGCTCTGTCAGGCTTCTGACCCCACCTGACCCTGACGACTCTGTCAAGGTCACCAGTGATGGCCTTGTTGCCAAAGCTGATGGACAATTCTCAACCATCACCGTTCTTGACCTGGCATCGCCTTGTCTTTCTGGAAGTCCTCTCTTCATTTGTTGTCCAGGCCGTTACTCTCCCCATAAGCCCCACGACCACTCTACTTTTCTCCCCTTCATCCACCTGACCCCAAAACATGGATGCGCCCCAGCGCTCCGCCTCAGCCCTGTCCTCTCACTCCCTAGGTGATCTCATCCAGGGGGCTCAGCCATTGGTGACTACCCCACTGATCTTGTCTCCAGATCTGCAGAGCCACCTAGATGTGTGGAATGAGCATCTCAAACTTAAGCCCCCGACCCTGGCCCAAGCCCGGGTCAGGTCACCTCTCCCCTGGACAACCACCATGGCTCCTCCCTGGCCTCCCAGCGGCCACTCTCACCCCCACCATTCATTTCTATGCAGCAGCCAGAGTGATCCTTCTAGGGCATGAGATGCTCTCTCAGTTCCAAACCGAGGCATGGGTAAGCAGGTTGAGGCTGGTGTTTATCCCACTCTCCACATGTGCATCGGGCTGGGGATGCTGCGTCACCCTCATGGGTTTTCCCATCTGGATCCCCCAAAGTCAACTGGCCGCGCAGAACGGGGCCCATTTAGGTCTGACCGGGACTGGAGAAGTCGAGGAGGCAGGGGAGCGAACCCTGGTATTGCCTGGTATCGAAACCAGTAACCAAAGAGTTCATGGGACTGATCGCAGCGGCAGACGACCAGTTCAACTTTTTACCCAGACTTTTTCCTTTTGCCTTTAAATTTCCCCGGCTCTCCCTTCAGGGAGGTGGATTTGAGGCTTGCCCTCCTGTCTCCTCGTCTGACTACCTCTCCAATAAATCCTTTCCTTGCTGCATCCCAGCGATTGTCTTTGCTGCCCAGCTGGGAGGCAGACTCGGCTTGGGTTATAGCATGACATTTCTGGGGAGGGAGGGGTCCTCATCATTAATCAAGAGAATCCAAGGTGGTCTCAAGCCAACTGACACTTGGAGTCTCCACCCAAGACCCAGCTCAGAGATGCAACTCTCAACAACATATTCCCATGCCCGTTCCCACTCCCCTTAATCCCTTTCCATTTCCCCTGACAAGAAAAATTACAAAAGCATCCAATGTCCCATCTAATGCAGAGCTGATGACAGGGCATCTATTTACAAGACGCCCGTCTGGGCCTCCAGGACTGTTCTGGCAGAACCTTTGCCGAGCCTTGCCCTGACTCGGCAGAGGAATAATTCTGCTTGAGTGTGCCCTGACTTGCCACAGTGAACAGGCTAGTGTCCCCTCTGGGCCCCTTGGGGGTCTGTGTTCTGTATTAGAATTGGCTATGTGAACAGTGAGTGCTGATGCACCTGTTCCTGGAGGGGATGAAGGCTGCGCTGCTCGTGGAGACCAGCAGTCTCAGTGACTGGCAACAACACAGGGAGACCAGCAATTCATTCCTCTGCACGGAATGGGCATTAAACTAACTAGGGCCATGGTCACTCCTCTGCAGGGCCAGGGCTCCTGAGATCCAAGGTCCTGGGCAGGATGTGCCTGGTTCTCCCAATCCCTGCCCATCCCAGCCTAGGGCAGATTTGGCTGTGGACTTTCTATTACCATCACCTGGGGAGACAGACTCACAGAACTTGCTCTGCTGGTTCCTTAGATGAGATCTGAGGTTACTTCCTTGGGGAGGTACCTGCTGGCTGCACACCTGGCCGCCCCTGCCGGGAGCCCCATGACCTAGGGGTACTAGGCTGCAGAGATGAGATCATTGTCATCACCAGGCCAAAGCCAGAGGCAAGGAGCAAGGGAAAGGGGGGTGGTGGAGGCTTCCAAAGAGAAGTGTTTAAGAGTTCCCTCTGACTTATGTCCCTAGATACTTTCTCTGGTATTTTCCAAGGCTGAAGTAGGGACGAGGCATGGGAGAAGCTGAAGGTTTGGAGGCTGCAAGACCAAAGTAAGCGTCTGTGCTTCTGACCCCGGCAGGGGCTGCCCTGACTGCTCACCTGGCCTACCAGGTGCCAGGCCAAACCTGCCCTGTAGGGACAGTCAACCTGTGGGTGGGCAAAGCTTTCTGCCCCACCCCCTTCCAAGGTGGGGTCTGCAGATGGTAGAAAGGACCCATGAAAGAGCAAGGGCCAAGTACAGGGATGGATAGTTCCGGAACCCTGGGACCTCTTGCCACCATGGGGTACCAGCCACAAAGCCACAGAGGCCTCCACCTCCTAAACTAAGACAGTGTGCCACATGTGGGCTATTTTCCCATGTGGTCTGAGAAAGGCCATTCCCTTTTCCAAAGGACTGGTGGAAATCACTGCTGATTCAGCCTGTTTCTAATCTACATGCTCTTCTCCAAAGGCCTCTTGACATCATGACTGAACAGGTCCCTCCCAGGGGACCATGGTCTAAAGGAACCAACTCAGAAGATTTCAGCACCAGAAGAGAGAGACCCTAAGCCCGTCTAACGAATAAGAGAGGCCACTGGCTTTCATTTATGTAAGAGGTCCCCATAACCCCAAGACTGCAAACCCCAACTCAATAATATGCTGGCTACTGTGCTAGAATTTGGTCAACTGCAGATCAAAACTGGAGGCAGGTCAACCAGAAACAAAGAGCAGCTAACCATGCATCCATCCATCTACCCACATGTCCATTCATCCACTCATCCATCCACTCATCCATCCATCCATCATTCACTCATCCATCCATCCATTCATCCATCCATCTACTCATCCATCCATCCATCCATCCATCTACTCATCCATCCATCCATCCATCCCTCCACTCATCCATTCATCCATGCACTCATCCATCCATCCATCCAACCATCCAGTCATCCATCCAACCATCCAGTCATCCATCCAACCATCCATCCATCCATCCACCTACTCATCCATCCATCCATCCATCCATCCATGCACTCATCCATCCATCCATCCATCCATCCACTCATCCATCCATCCATCCATCCATCCATCCGCTCATCCATCCAACCATCCACTCATCCATCCAACCATCCATCCATCCATCCATCCATCCACCTACTCATCCATCCATCCATCCATCCATCCATCCATCCATCCATCCATCCATGCACTCATCCATCCATCCATGCACTCATCCATCCATCCATCCAACCATCCACTCATCCATCCATCCATCCATCCATCCATCCATCCATCCATCCACTCATCCATCCATCCATCCAACCATCCACTCATTTATCCATCTATCCACCCACTCATTCATCCATCCATCGGGTGCTGGCAGGTAATCTGGCAGACTCCAGCTAGAATTCTTCATTTAAGCAGAGGCAGGCAAGAATAGCTTCTGAGGATCTGAATATGCTGGGATATCTACTTAAAGACATTTTAGTTCCAATGGCTATAAATTTTTGGTCAGGCGCAGCCAGGACCCCGGGGCCACAGGGAGTCCAGGAACCCTGTCACACTGGACAGAACATAGGACACTTACGGTCGAGTCCATTCAAGTAGCGCATGCGGATCTCACAGTGGCCCCAGACGGCGCTCACTACAGGATACAGTTTTTTGCCCTTGAGTCCTCGAAAAGCCACTCCCATGTACTGTCCATCCACAATGAAGCTCAGAGTCCCATCATCCATGTCCAGGGCCACGAGGAACGAGTCAGGGACAATAAATGTCTCATCCGGCTCCAAAAAGGCCGGGTATGTTTTGCTTGGTTGGTTTTTGCCATCGTGGTAGAGCCGGTTGCGCCCCAAGTCCCAGCCCCAAGATTCGTGGTTATTCCCCACGAGGGTCGTGTACCCGACGGAGTGCAGGGGGGCGTCTGCTGTCGCCACCCCCACCACAGCGTGGGTGCCCCGCTGCCTCATGGCCCACGTGATCTGCCATACGTGCAGCCCGCGCGTGTACCCGACTTTGCCCCTGATGGCGTCCGTGCTCTGGGCCACCGGATGCCGGTGAAAGATCAGCTTGTCGTCTTCCTTCACAAAGACATTGAGCGATCGGTCATTGTTGTTCCATGAGTGGAGCAGCTGGACATCGTAGGACACGGGGGGCATGTCTAGCAGCAGGTCCAGGCGGGTGGGCTTGCAGTAGTCCAGGCCCTGGAGCTCCTGCTTCAGGGGCCGGTATGTGGGGTCCCTCATGTCCACAGTCTTGATCCCTCCGGTGACCTTCTGACCCATGTTCACCTTTGGTTTCACCTTCGCACTGACTCCCAGGGCAAACTCATCAATCGTGGGGCCTCCCGTCCAGTTTTGCGATGAGGCCCAGACAGAAGTCCCAAGGAAGGTTGGTCGGCGGCCTCTGGAGACTGTGGGCCCTCAGTGTTGCCTGATGGATGGAAAGAGAAACAGGAGGCCGGGTGAGCAGGGGGTGCGGGAAGAAGGGGAACACGGCAGTTAGGAGTACGAGGCTGCCCGCGCGGACAGGTCCCAGCAACCCGGCTTCTGGGCTCCCGGCACACCCGACGCGGGGCAGGCCGCAGCCGTGGCTCCGTCCCCGAGGCGACACTGTTAGGAAGGAGTCAGCATGGAGAGGTGGGCTTGGGGGCCGGGCATCACGCTCGATGGCGTCGGGGGCACGACATTCACCAAATACCTAACCGCGGTTTCTCAGGGCAGAAGGCCAAGTTGGCCTGGATCCTGAATCAGCCCTGAGGCAGTGGGTATCCTCCTTGGTTAAAGCAAGGGGAAGCTTATTCCCCTTGCCTGTGGTCTGGGGGGAAAGTGAAGCCGTGAGAGGCAGCAGAAGCAGCCAGACCCCATTTCCCTGCCCCTCTTCTTTTCTAGCACAGCTGCTTCTGGGGGTTCATGCTATGGAAGGGGACTCCGGTGCAGGTGGAAAGCTCACTTGGGGGTCTGCATGTGCACTCAGCTGGAAGGCCCTAGGGGTCTCCTGGCTTGCTGGTCCCCAAGGCTGCAGCGACCTCTCCAGCAAGTCCTATGTCCCTCCTGGGCCAGGGCCACCAGTGACACTCTTCTCATGGCCCCTGATCAGGTGAGAACAGAGGCTCTGACCCCCCACCCTCGAGTTCTGGACCAACACTTAAAGGACTGACACTTTTCCCTACCCACACCCCTCAACCAGCAGCCAACATTTGGCCCCTCAGGTCCCAATGGCCCATCTGGGGAAGAAATCTGACTCCAAGAGCCCTTGTTCCCACTCTGACTTCACCATCACTTGGCTCCTCAAAGGTCAGGGCCATGGTTTGGAGGGGAGATCTCACTGCATGTGTCCCAGTGTCTCCATTGGTAGTACCAAGGACGAGGGTCTGAAATGTGGGGCCGACTGACCACCCCCGCCATTCCTGTCCTCAGTGTCCAGCCTTGGATAAGGGAAAAGAACATGCCATTTGGGTTTGCTGAGCCTCACTGAAGAAAAGCTTTCTGCCATCACAAACCTCCTTGGCCTGTGGAAGGGACTCTTAGCTGCCTGGTTTGGGGGACAGGCTCCTGGGACCGACCAGACAAGAGAGAAGGCAGGCTCCGGGCTAAGTAAATGTCCCTGAATGAGCACACGGAGGAGCCTGGGCGAGAAGCCATGGGTGCCTGGCTGCTGGGAAAAGCATCACGTGGGTCCCTGGTTCCAAGGAGCACTGCGGTGCCTGGGATGAAGAGAGTCCACGGAGCCTGCTGTGGGGGTGCTGCGGGACTCCCCTCTGCAGGTGGCAGGGAGAGAGTACCTGCTGGGAGGGTAGGGAGAGCTGTGCAGGGGAATCTGGGAGGGGGGGCCAGCGGGGCCAGGAGGAGGGAGGGATCAGTAATGGGCTTGCTGTCTCTGGGTGTCGGTCTTCTTAGCCAACCCCGAGCTGCCTCCCTCCGCTGGGACCACATCTCCAGGGCGGCCAGGCCTCTAGGAGGTTGGCTCTTGGCAGAATAAATGTCCCTGTGTGGGAACACTTGAACGGACCCCCCCCCCAACTTCATTGAGCACATCAAGCTTCTCATCTTCCCCTTTCTGCTGTGGAATGGAAGGCTCGCTCGCTCCCTGAGGCATGGTCATTTCTTCAGAGACAGTTTAGGACCCCTTGTGTTAAATGCATGCAAAGCTGGCATAGTGCAGAGATGTCCCTCTGCAGCTAGAGGACCACCCTGGTTCTGGAAAGTTCTGTGGATATCATGACCTTACGTCCTGGATCCCCCAGGACAATCCCAATTTCAAGCCTTCAGGCCCATTGACTCCTGAGAGCCATCAAAACCTCCAGGACTTGCCTGTGGCTCTGTTGAGGGGGCACCCCGTGGCTCTGGCACCTGCTTGCCAGGCTCTGTGGGGGTGGAGAGAGCTGGGGTTTCGGGGTACAAATGTGGTCCTCGTAACTACAGAAACTGGGGGCCGCCTGGCTGCAGCCTTCCCTGACTTCTCTCTTCCATGCCTCCCCAGACTCCATTCGAGTATCCTCTTGAGCTGGTCAGGGGCAGTTCTCAAAGTCAGAAGCACCCATATCCATCTCTGCCTGGACACCTCACTCTGGCTGGTACCCAGCGACCTCTCTGTGCAGGACCCTGTGGGGGAGCTCTCTGGAGGACGAGGAGGGAGCTGACTTCCTAAGACAGCTCATTTTACTGCTTTCTGGAACAGAGAGGCCCTTGCCCTTCTGTGGGCTCTATCCCAGCATCTGGGCACGGGAGATCGCACCCCTACCCTGGGCAGAGGTGAGGAGTGTGGAGGAGGCCGGGGGTCGGGGCGACACTGGGCGGGCAGGACATGTGCGAGAGGGAGGTGATGGGGAGAAGCCCTTCCAACACATTAGTTTATCGACTTGGAGAGAAAGGGGTGGGAATGGAGAAGAACAGGGAAGGTGGGGAGAGCCGGGACAAGTCACGGGTGGAGCGGGGAAATGGCGATGGGGCGAGAAAGGGAGAGAGGGAGGGAGCTCTCAGGCCCCTGAGCCGAGGCCTGTACACACAGAACCCCTCAGCTAGACCAGGGATCCGCAAGCGTCTCGTGTCTGGCGCTAGACGGTAAATGTCTCAGGCTTCGGCCAGGCAGCCTCTGCGCAACTACTCAACCCTGCCCTACAGTGTGAAAGCAGCCACAGCCTGCGCATGAATCAGCGAGCATGGCTGAGTTCCAATAAAATTTTATTTATAAGAATAGGCTGCTCTGGGCGCCTGGGTGGCTCAGTTGGTTAAGCGACTGCCTTCGGCTCAGGTCATGATCCTGGAGTCCCTGGATCGAGTCCCGCATCGGGCTCCCTGCTCGGCAGGGAGTCTGCTTCTCCCTCTGACCCTCCCCCCTCTCATGTGCTCTCTCTCTCTCATTCTCTCTCTCAAATAAATAAATAAAATCTTTAAAAAAAAAAAAAAAGAATAGGCTGCTCCCTCGCCGGCCAACCCCTGAGCTAGACCAGGGGACCCGCACATCATCTCCGCTGACGACGAAGTGCTGCAGTGGGCAGGCGGAGGATGGATGTGGGAAGGGATCTGGCAGCTGCAAGGTCAGTCCAGCCTCAGAGCGAGCCATCAGAAAAGACACATAACCTCACAGTGGCACCTCGGCTGTCCGTTCAGGTCCATTCCACAGGCTCTCCCCACTCCACCGCCCCTAGGCAAATCCATTTACACGGCCCTTGTGCTAAGCTCCCACCTTCCTGGGCCTGACACCCAGGGAACCATCCAAGGGGGAAGGTCCCTTCTGGCCCCTGGACCACATGACCTTGAGCAGCGGGAGTCCCTGGGAGGAAGGGAGACAGGTAAGAGTGTGTGCAGCCCTGCGGGAAGCTCCCGCGCAAGGGCACCCCAGAGCCTGGCCAGGGCCGTGGCCCACCCACTCTGCTGCTTCTGGGCCACCCTGCCTTCAGAGTCATCCCCACGTGGTCAACCACCACAGCAACCCTAGAGCCACTCTGGATTCACCTGTCGCCTGCCCGTTCCCCGCCCTGCGTCCAGACTACGGTCAAAGCTGACACTTCCTTCTCGTAGACCTCCTGCTGTCCATACCTAGCCACCTCCTTGCCATGCAAGGCCACCGAAGCCATCCAGCTGCCCCCCTCCTCCCTTCTCTCTTCAAATGTGGCCGCAGAGCTTCGCCCTTCTGTGGGTCTCCTGGAGCTCCGCTAGCCCTGTCTTGGGGATGGCCTTTGGGTTCTTCCTCCCCATCTGCACCTCCCTACTTTGTTCTCCTCCACCAGCACTGCTCCTGGGACTTCTAGTCTTGGGGGGAACCCTGCTCACCCAAACAGTGCCTCGGGCCACTGCCTAGGACTCTGCCTGAGCTTTCCTGAGGCTCTGTCTGCCCCTCCATTAAGATGGGTGCCCCATGCTTCCGAAGGCTCAGCCGAGACAGTGTTCCAGAGAGGACCTAGTACGGCTGGCATTTTCCCTTTTGTTTTGTTTTGATTTTTATTTTCTAGGCTCTGTTCTGTACACTGAACAAAGATCACTGTTATCCATCTTCTTGGTCACTGCACTTGGCCCTATGATGGACGCTGTCTTTGAGCCATGTGTCTGAGCAGATCAAATTTAAAGTCCCTTCCAAGCCAGGGGGTTGGCAAACGTGTTCTATCAGGGGCCAGACAGTGAATATTCTAGGCTTTCCCGATAATACAGAAATGAATGGGCATGGCTATATTCCAACAAAACTTTATTTACAAAAAACAGATAGTGGGCCAGATTTGGCCCAGGGGCCATAGTTTGCTGACCCCTGTTCTAAACCCAGGCAAATTGGCCGACACGATCTCCAAAATGCCTGGACATGTGGCGTCACTCCCCAGGTGTGGAGTCACAGAAGCAGTAGTTCGGCCTGTGCAGCTCCTGTCAACACTGGGCCGAGGAGACAGTCCCCAGTAGGTACCGAACTTCAGGGAGGCACCGGAAGAAGCAGCGCAGGCCCCAGCTCTGGGACCAGTCCCCTCTCTTGCCTTCTGAGAGGCAAATGCATATGTCCAGGCCTTTCGGGGCCTAGGGCTGCCCTGGGAGTGTCAGGGCCTGGGATGGCTCAGTAAGTCCTTAGTGGGTCTCCACGAATTGAGAGGACCCGGACCTTGTCTCTCCGGGAGAAACAAAGCTGCAGGGGGTGTGGCCGTGGAATGGCCTAGAACAGGAGAGGCGGAGGACAGAGATGGCCCTGCTGCCGCCCCCACCTCCTACCAGTCACACGTAGCCACACGCACGCTCAAAGCCCCGGTGGCTGCAGCGTCGGGGCTAATGAGCAGGGAGGGCGTGCAAGTCCAGGCGGGGCCGGGCTGCGGCTCCCTCATTCCCTCTGCGGGAGCTCCGTTCCGAAAGCTCATACACGCATCAGCCGCGGGGCCCCCAAGACCACACCTGCCTGGTCCTGCTCACGGCCATCCCGAGCCAGCCCTCAAGACAAATTCCGGGTGGGTACCCCTC